GGAACAAAATTTGATTTAAGCTAGAGTATTTTGATTTTCCCTCAAGTCTTCTGCTAGTTGTCTTGCCCTTCCTACAAAGCCTGAAAACGAGCAAGCTCCATCATAAATCGAGCAAAGATATTAACCTATTTCAAAACTGGGTTTAATCTTTACTGCCACGACTATAAGAAAAGCAACAAATGATCAGATCGATAAGATCAGGAAAGAAAGTTAATAATCTTGCAGAAGGCAAAGGTATCCTATCTGGAATCTCACAAACATTAAGGGTTGCATACAAGAGCCTGACCATTTGCAATATGACAACGGGGTAAAAGTTTGATACCTGATATATCCTAGGGGCCAACTAAGACTTTTAACAGAATATTTTAACCACTTGACATTGCTGAAGGAATCAAAATTTATCCATACCATGTGCAGCCTCTGCATAGCATAAACAAAAAACTCAGCCCCAAAATTGGTTGATAACAAAGCAATACTGATAGAAACAAACTTACCATGTGACTGCGTAATCAGTGAAACATTCTTGAATATGCTTTTTTTTCTTGCTCAGACCTATTAGCAACCTGTGGAAATTTTTTTACTTTCAAATCTTATAGGAAAGGAAAGCAAAACAAGCAGCATCCATTGTTTGGCAAGAAAATCAAAAACGAAAAAAGTTCACTAACCTTCTTCTTAGCAACCAGAAGCTCTTTCTTAATTCCTCCTGAAAAATAGAAAACATCATGAAAGGTCAGGAATCTGTCATTGATAGTATAATGTATCGTTGGTCTTGGTCATCCACTCTGATAGCATAGGGTTTGATTATCTAGTTATAACGTATAAGAGCAAATATTTGAAAAAACAACCACAGTCAAGTTAATGTCCATTGAGGTTCCCACAAATCTGGTTTGCCGTTGGGAAAAATGTGCAAATTTATCGTAACTAAAATTCTGGAAGGAAAAAACATATCAAGCATTTGAAAGATTGGCATAACAATCCTGTAACAGCTCTCTGATCTCAAGAATCCGAACCTTGGCAAACTTTAACGATTACAAGAAAGAATAACCTAGTTGGCTGGTTCATAAAAGAACCTACTTTTCAGTATAAAGTTAGGTAGATAATCTAACACGACTGACCATCATTTGGTTCCAACTCCAGTGCCTTCTTGAAGCTTTCAACTGCAGCGTCAATGTCATTGAGTGCCATATAGGTCTGCAGGCAGCAAGATGCATAGAAGTCAGATCATAAACAGCAGCCAGAAAGCATTATATATTCTTTTCTTGCCAATTAAAGATTATTACCTGGCCTTGGCGAAACAAAGCCTTCACATTGTCTTCCCAGTCACGCAATGCAAAGTCAGTGTCCAACAATGCTCCGTCTAGGTCTCCTAATTTCAACCTACAAGCCTGAACAGAAAAATCACATATCAATCAATCAGATAAAGGGAAATGCCGTTCTTTTTAGTTGATAACAGTGAAATCAAAGTACCACAAAAGAATATACAATACTCCTGAACATAATCAAGCTAGCCTTTGGAGAATTATTCATAGTTATCTTCTAGGCATCACAGAAACTCAAAAGCGATGGTACTTTTCATTTTGTCCAGCAGGTTAATTTGAATGCGATTAAGTTACTGTAACACAATTTCGATGTCTATCACTACCACTCATAAATGTACAATTTCTGCAATACAGATAGCTCAGCAAATTGTCATTTACATTTTACACTGCTGAGCTGAAGATATTGGTTTACTTATCCATACATGTAATTTTGTTTTCATTTCAAGAAGGTTTCTTAGAGAATTCATTTAACATCAAGTGCTTTCAAAATTGATACATGAAAATTCTTACTGAGCTATTAGTAAATATCTGAGACTTTGTCTTCCGCAAAGAGGAGCTCGTTTCTGTACAATAAAAAAGATAAAGCTATAAGATGATGAAACAAAGTAAGGGACACCCTATAGTGCAAAGCAAATGGTGTACCTTCATCAATTTCTTCCAGCTCCCAGCACATATCCACGTAGCGCAAAGCCTTGCGATACTTTCTAAGGGCCATCTTATAGTCTTGCTTCTGTATAAAGATCAGAAATCATACTATTGGGTATTAGTGAATGAAATGTATGACATAATTTACCATAGTTGTGATATTAAATGCAATATCTCATTACCTTGAACCGTTCGTTTCCAATGGCCTTAATAGCATCCACAGCTGTAACCCACCAAGAAATGTCCTCTGGTTTTGTATCAAGATCAGCAGGCCAATCAGGATAAACATCACCATCTTTGAAGAAGTTACACACCCCATCATCTGCTCCCTCAGGAAGCTGCCCACAATCCGAAATAACGACTTCTTCGGTAGGCAAGTCGCCGTCTTTCGTGTTCAAATGTTCAACCGAACGAACCACGCCCATGCCCTTGATCACCTTCCCAAACGCAACATGTTTCCCATCAAGATGGGAAGTCCGAGTGGTGGTAATGAAAAACTGAGAGCCATTGGTGTCAGGGCCCTTATTAGTCATGGACAGCATCCCTTTTCTCTCATGCTTTATGTCAAAGTTTTCATCTTCAAACTTCAACCCATAAATCGACTCTCCCCCGCTGCCATTTCCTGCCGAAATGTCTCCACCTTGTATCATAAAACCTTTGATAACGCGGTGGAAACAAACACCCTGCAACAAGATGCAATGCAATTCTTATTGCAACTCCACCCCATTAACAAAATTACAAATTCTTGCACATACACACAGAAATTAAACAAAAACCTACCAATGTAAAAATCAAAAGAACAAAAACCCACCAATTTAACAATAGAAAAACAAGACCCCACCAGTGTTGCAATGCAAAAACCAAAACCCAACAATGTAACAATCAAAAGACAAACCCAGAAATAAAAATTGAATCTTTTGACGAGAGAGAGAGAGAGAGAGAGAGAGAGAGGACCTTGTAATGCAGAGGAGCATTGGTGTGGGGGCCAATGCCCCTCTCACCAGTGCAGAGAGCTCTGAAATTCTCAGCTGTTTTGGGAACAATGTCATTGTAGAGTTCCACTACTACTCTTCCTTCTAGCTCTCCTCCAATGGTCATGTCCAAGTAGCACCTTGGCCTCCCCATTTGTGAATAACCCAGAAGAAACTTAACTAAAATAAAAAATTGGAAAAGGGGAAAACTTAAAACCCTAATCCCGCTTTTATAAATTTGAACTGGTTCGAGTTCGTCGCGAGACTCGGTGACTCAGTGAGACCAGGTCGCCTTCACAGTTCACAGTCCTCCATACTATGCCTATGAAATATCGGTCTCTTTGAGTCACCAGAGGCTGGTGGGGAGGTGTAGGCGGGTTAGATGTGAACGGACACGTGACGTATGATCTAATGATATCCTTTCAAATTAAACATTTTATATTCAATTTTTGTTCGAAACAAATTTAAATTATATTATTATTAGTTTACCAGATGTACAAGAAGATGTGGACGGACACTGACTCCTATAGGGGCAGGGCACTGCAGGGTATTTTGGTTGCTGAAGAGGGGTCAGCGGAGATGGGAATTGTTGGAAAGTAGCGAGATTTGACTGAAGATATTTGGGTGCAACTCACTGTACAGGACTCTGTGTGCGCTTCTAATGGATCGTGCTCGGGTTTAATCGTACTGTGTTTGGGCTTTAACGGTGATCGTGTTTGTGCCACCTCTTGAGTTCACATTTGTCTTATTTTTATAACTACATATTAATAAAAAAAATTGTGTCAACAAAAACATAGTGAAAAAACTATTCAATCCTTCATCGTAATATTTAAGTTAAGGACAGTAAAGTAAATTTATGAAATAAAATTTTCTTTTTTTGTTTAAGCATTATTTACCATTGATTTTAACATCTTTAATTATAAAAAATTAAAAATAAACATATTTCCCTTTCTCCACTCTCACGTTCTCTCTCTCCCTCTCTCCTTCAATTTTAAAACTAAAATAAAACATTACACACATACTTTGTGTGTAGATATATACTAGTTTTTATTTAAAAGAGTAATGTGATATGGTTTACTAAAATGTAGATTGTAGTCTCTATATCATTTCTCATAATATAATAACTTATATTCTTCATTGAAATAATGAGAAAAATTATCATTTTAGTGACACAAACGAAGATCCTCCCCAGATCCTCTTTATGAGAATCTCGGGAATACTCAAATCACATTCGTTCATCGTATATCGTGCGGTCAGTTTTCGTCAGGTACTGTTTATATTTAATTTTAAATAAAAAGCTTTACAATGATTTATGACTGCACAATATACAATGAACGGATGTGATTAGAGGATTCCGAGATCCTCACAAAGAGAACCTGGAAATGATCCTCATTCTATTTATACAATATTAAGTTAATAGTGCTAATCGTGTTTTAATTCTGTACACATCAAGTCATGTATTCATCTTGACATTGAGTGCCGTTTCAAAAATTATCACCCTCACGTGATGATCATATAAACACATAGTAGCATGTAGTCGATGATAGGAAAATGTTTCTCAAAGAGAATATTTTCACATATTTTGGATGAGGTTTGGCCCAGTTCTTTTTTCTTTTTATTTTTTTTATTTTCACAAATGATAGCATTAGTTGTTTAAATGTTAGTATTAGATGGAGGAGGATTGAACCCGCACTAAGTGCATATGCATGTGATTGCTTTCCGCTGCTATCGTAAGGCGTCATATGCAGTTTGGCCCAATTCCTTTGATTAGTCTCTTTTTTTCATACCATAGCTTCAAATTGAGTAACGTGATTTCCCCACATTTTTCTTTTCTTTATATAGATGCTGACTTATTTTTGGTCTTTGATTATAAAAAGATGAATTAAAACTCACAAGGACATAAATAACTCGAGTGTGCATAAATCATTTCCTTGTGCTATTTTCATTTTTTCAAAAAGAACATGGCCAAGTTCAGTTTGACACAACCCATATAAATTCTATATCTTTTTAGAGCATGAATAACAACTTCTTTTAAAATTTATACCCTTACAGTTTTCTGAAAAACATAGATATATCTTTTACTAGTTGGCAAAAACACAAGTTACAATTTGTTTCATCGTTAATCCTTTTATCCGTCTAACTATTAAGCATAACTTTTACTTACCAACATCATACATGTACATATATAAGCCATAGGATTCTCACTAGAAACTCCTAAACATGGTATTATGACATTTTCAACATCATACATTTAACACAAACACACTAACATCAATAATGCAGTATACCCTACTTATTCACCACCCTACAATTCTTCCTGATTTCTCCATTGCTTCCTGTGAGTACACCAATATTGGCCATCTTCACCATCGATGCTCCAAAGTCGTTGTTAAACAGAAATGGAAACTTGCTGTAGCTAAGAACCATGGAAGCAGTTCTATTATTCCCCATAAGCACTTGGTCTGATTGGAGAAGTCCAGAATTGTTGACTAGGGTTTTATAGTAGATGTTGTCAAACTTGGCTGAAGTGACTGGATCAAAAGGAACCAGATTGGTATCGGAGTCGGCTTGATTAGGGCACACGCGTTGCAGGTTTTGTAAACGTGAAGTGTCCAGTGTTGGGTCAGGTTTGCCAGAGTCATCGAAGTTGAAGAGTCTAGTCTTGAAAGTGAAGCATTGAGCAAACCCAATTGTATGTGCACCTGCATGGAGAAAAAAAAATATATATACATGGTTTATTAAGCTTTTTAGTCAGGGGCGGATCCAAAGAGGGACCAAGGTGGTCCCAGGACCACCCAAAAGCTGGAAAAACGGCCATGAAGGTCCTCTGGGGACCCTCCAAATGTTTCGGCAGGGGGGAGAGATCTACTCCTAAGACTATATAGGCTACGCCAAGGCAATTATTTTGTCAAATAATGTTATAGTCCATTCAAAACCTGGTCCATCCATGGAGGAGGTGAAGGAATTGCAGGGCTGCAGCAGCTTTCTCGCGAGGAAGATGAAAGAGACGCTGACTCTTTTTTTTTCCTTACACGTTGTCGTTTTGGATGTCTCAAGTAACATCTTTATGGGCAATCGAATTTAAGAGTGATAAAAGCCCACTAACTTTAAAGACCTTTAATTTGTTTATTTCTTCTGGAAGTTGCCCATTTTTTAGATAATTTAATAGAAAAAATAATTGATTTTAGAGAACTATTATCTTCTTTTCTTTTTTTCTCTTTTTTTTAATTTCGTAAAAGATAGAAAACTATCAATGTAAGAGAACGAGGGAATCAAGGCCACTTAGTACTACGGTCTAGTGATATTCCTCTTCACTTTTAAGTAAGAGGTCTTAGGTTCAATTCTCACCAAAGGCGAATCCGAACCACATTATTACTAGTTCATTATGAGGCTAAGCCCACCCCCTCCCCTTTTGGTGTAGATATCGTTTGTTCAAAAAAAAAAATGTTTAGATTTTGTAACTTCTTGTGTTGTTTTTAACATGATTTATGGATGAAAAGTTAATGTTTAACTTTTTAATGTTATTTTCCCTTAGTTTATTTTTGGATGTCTTACATTCGAACCATCCTATGTTAAAATCCTGAATCCACCACTGTTTGTAGTCATCCAAAATTTTATATGTAAAAAAGGCCATTATAACAGGGCTAGTCCTAAGATTCCTATGAGCATGCGTGCGACCACAAAGAAAACCCTTAACGTAGGGCAAAGTTTTGAGTTTAACCATGAATCCCTATATATAACACTTATCACGGTCAAGTGATCACGTGTTGAGTGTTATATGGTGATATCACTTGTTGAGTGTTATATGGTGATGATAACATATCCCCATGATGTATAAGAATATCTTTCAGTAGTAGAGATGACATGGGAAGCAAACCTGAGAGCACAACTACATCCTTTAAGTCAAGGCCTTTGGCTGTGAACTTTGCAGTGATGTTTTCCAAGGGCTCAAAGGGTGATGGCAATTGTTTATTAGCTGCATCTTCACTTGCTGTTGTGCCATCTCTACGACCCAAGGGTACTGGCCAATATGGCCCTCCACTCTAACCAAAAAATAAATATATGAGTGCTAGAATCAGTCACTTACACATACATGAGTTAATCTTGACCGTTCATGCAAAACTGATTGTACCATTTTCCAAGAAACAATATAAAAGATAAAACATGTGGAAATTTTAACTAGTTGGAGTTGTTAAATGAAGAAGGTGCTTACAAAATAAACGGCTGCTCTTAATACAAGAGTGATTATGTCAGTGCAAGAAACAGTGGATGGGCAAGCTTCCTCCACCTTTGACTTGATTGTGTCAATCACCTCAAAACCTCTGGCTGAATTTTTGTTGGGTGCAGCATTTTTCTCCCCTTTAAAACTGCTGGTATCATCAAGTAGCAATGATGCATCACATCCCTACCTCCAACAAAATGGAACAAAATCAGGTTTCTAGTCAATTTAATTTGGCTCATATAATAACCACAACTAGTAATCAGGTCATGCTTATACTTAATTAGACCAGTTCTTCTCTAGACAAGACGTACGTTTTTTATTAAAGAATGCACCGACAATGTGGTGCCAATAAGTGGTTGATATTAATAGTAGATAACATATCAATAGCAAAACTTATTATTGTAATATCGATACATTACTTGCATTACATATTGCTATGAAATTGTTCTTTAACAAAAAAAACGTGTTGCGTAGAGAAAAATTATAATGCTTAGACAAACATAATTATTATGACACTCTTAAAAGGTCATCTGTCACTTTAAATTATATAAAAAAATGAATAAAAAGAAATGTAGAATAATATTTTTAGAGTGTCAATAATAGTACTGTAGACTTAGAAGTAAACAATAAGAAATGAGGGAAGCCAAATTAATTACATTAACAAAGCAATCATGGAAGTGAAGCCTCAAAAGTGAGGCCGCAATTCTAGTATCATTTGCAATAGCTGACCAAACTCCAAAGTGAACAATCTTGGTCAGGTTGGGACAAGTTGAATCATAGAATTTAAAATCAAGCTGACAGAACACAAGATTAGGGCTTAGGAACAAGAGGCAAAGCAAGGTATTAAGAAAGGAAAGTTTGTGATCCATTTTCTGGAATACGAATATATAAATTCTCTAATTAAGTTGTCACTAATACTTTGTGACAGTTCAAATGGTACTGAGTAGTGAGTACTTGAGGTATATTTATATAGAGAGTGAGAGTGTCAATGACAAAGGAAAAGTGCATGAAATTGTGCAGATACAGTTGATTATGTTATCTGGGGAGAGTGGTAGAGGCACTAGATTGTCTTTTTATTCAGTTGAGTTTGGTAGAACTGCATTTGTGTAATTAATGGGATCAAGAAGGCGGCTAGGTTGGGACTATTCGTATTGCTCTAAGTGGTAGGATACTAGGATGATGTATTCTAGTCCTAGAAAAAAGAGCATTAGTTCATACTCAAGTTGACTTAAATTTCTTATTATCTTTTTTCTCAATAAATAATCGGATATCTAGAAAGATATTTTTATAGCAGAATAAATATACACTCAACAAAATTTGTCATTGCAAGGAGGAATTGAATTCATGATATAACATATATTGTAGTTAATGTATGCGAGTTAAGCCTGAAATGTCCTCCAACAAAGTGAAGACAACTACCACTAAATCAAAGGCTAATTAGTAATAAAAATGAAAACTGGGGCTTCATGAAAGTCCAAAGGCATGTTGTGACTCTCTGTTAGCCCTAGATAATCTTTGGTCTAATTGTTGGCTATATGTACTTGAAGGGTTGGAGACATTGTTCCAAAAATCTCCACCCACGCCGCCTACTATATGTACTTGGAGGGTTGGAGACACTATTTTAAAGACGTTAGGTGGTTAGTCACCGCCTCGATTAGTCCCAAGTGTTTGAAAATCAAGAAAGTGCGCCTAGACCCGCCTACCCCTGCCTAAACCCGTCTAAGTATCCGTCTAGGTTGTGACTCTCACGTAAACAGAAAATTTATAACTTTCATTTTGCATTTTGTTTTTATCAAAAATGTAAGAGATGTGTTGAATACTTGGATGAACACTCATTATATGTTTGTTCCCCATGTTTTCAATATGTTTTAATACTTTATAATCTACATGTCATTTTATTTTGTAATGTATGTATTCCAATACAACTTTGTGTTTTTTTTAATCATAAATAGACAGTTATTTATACAATATATAATAAATTTACTTTAATCTGCCAAGTCTGCCTAGACTCCCGCCAATACCCCGCTTAGCCGCCTAAGCACTAGACCCCAATTCACCACTCAACTGGTGCCTAATATCTTTTAGATCCTTGCTATCAACTAGTGAAAATAAGCATAAGCATAGAGAGTGTGATGGGGGCTATAGTGCAACGGATCTATGGAAGCAGCCAGAAAGAAGAAAAGGGGATTGAACTTTGAATAGCAAGTATCACCACCCATAATGCTAAGTGGAAATTTGAATTATTACTCAAGTATTGATTAACGTGCTTATTTCTTATTGTAACATATTATTTGATTTAGAAATTTGATCTCCTTAACATTATCTTCATAAATAACCAGAAACTTTTGTCAACATAAATTTAGATTACAATATTAATTCTCTGCAAATAGTTTAACATCTAGATGTTGACAAAAGTGCTGAGAATTATCCGAATTCCACATACACAGACCAAGAACACCAACTACTGTAGATTCCCATTATAGGATAATGTAATAGTACTGAATTACTAATACAACATAATTAAGTTAAAGTCTTAATCTAAATCTCTCATGATTCATCTAACAGAGATAACAGAATAAGTAATCAAAGCAGGTCTCTGTGCAGTCATAAAAGCAGGAACAGCTGCATCCAAACACAAAATTACACAAAAAGTACAAATTACAAGCTAATTAAACCATAAAAGAAGATAAATAGTTAACAAGAAATTAATTAGATAATTACCATTCATTGATGACTTTGTCCTTCTCATCTTCTTCTATCTCGAAATTCTTGGTGGAAGCATCTATGGCTTGTGCTGATGGAGGCTCCATATTTGATCTTCTCCTATCTTCTGAAATACTTCCAGAGAGAGAAAGAGAGGTGGAATAAAAGAAAATGAAAAATAAAAAATAACATATATGATGCACAACGGATTCGTCATTTTCCTAAAATTTGTAATAAATATTCGTTCTTTATTTTGATTTGACCAAATGAAAGGAAGAGAGAGAACTCATATCCTAATTTTAAAGGGCACTATCATGACTTGTATGTTTCATAATGCTTTTATTGATTTTGCTTATTTGCTTTTATACATTTCGTAATTAGATTAAAGTAGTGTTGTTCACATTTTTTTTCTTTTATTGTACACACTTTTGTTAATTTTTATACATTTTTTTTTTCATTTTATTCGATACGAAGATTGAAAATTAAAATGACGTGTGAGAGGTAAAATAAACATGTAAATAGTATTATTCTTAAATTATTTTATATTTTATTAATTTTTTACAAAGATAACTTTTAAGTAACTATAATATAAATGGTTACGATAAGTATGAAGTTTTGTGGATGGATCACAAAGTGTTGAGCCAGACACTGTATCTAGAGAAATGCAAAAATTAAAGAGAAAAGTAAATGGTTTTGGAGAGTTGAAGTGGACCACTGCAGGAGTTGATAAGGCCATTTATCTGTGAAACTAATGGTGCTTCTGTGCATGCGTTACTTGCACTACCAAAATGTATTTCAAAGGTTTACCCTTTTGAGCTATTTTAGTTACGAGTCGTTTTCATTGATTGATGACTTCATTTTCTTTGTGAATAATGTCTTTCAGTTTATTTTTTCACACTATATATGCATTATATCAAAAGAATGTAATTTTAGGATATTTCAGGGCATTATATATTCTGAAGTTTTTAGTCGTTAAATCTTTTGTCAAAGATATCAACATCTAATGCGTAATATTCCCATAGCATAAAATACTTTAGAGCATCATAATATCTTTTTTACTAGAAATTGTTTTGGAGATTTTCCATTTGGGAGTGGTTTATGTAGGAAGGACAATATTTCCCTGCTTCCCAGTAACATGCCATCATTTCAACGTGCAAACGTCATATTTGGAAACTGTTTAGTTGTAAATGAGGATATTACTTGTTACCATAATCATCGATTTGTTTGACACATGAATGATTAAACATCTCTGAGTCAATAAAGTTTTTTAAAGATGAACTTTAGACGATGATAAAGAGAAAAAAACAATTATGATTATGACGTTGTCCTATAAAATAATGTCATGTTAAATGAGAAGGAGGAAAGTTGCAAAGGAGGAAGTATTATCTTAGAATCCAAGAATTTAGAAGAATTATAGCATTTTTTTTTTTTTTGTTAAAATCCAAGAACTTTCTGGTGGTTATTAGGATCTTCTTCTTTAATCCATTGTGTTCGGGTTCAACCATCACCCTTCTCTAGTGTAAATTAACATAGGGATATTGCTTGTATTAACGTAGTGCATTTGGAATCATATTTCATTAGGAGTTGTTTCAAGGTGCAGATGTATCTGTAACTCAGAAGTGCTTATTAACTTTCTTCTCTGCCAACTATAGCCAAAACTGCTTTTTTAGAAAAAACACTTCTAACGTTTCTGAACAAACCAAAAGTATAAAATGAAACTTAAAACAAATTTGCAAAATCAGATACCTTGTTAGTGCAAACAAAAGCACCAAGTGCAAAAATAATTTGAGCCCCTTGATATATAGAGATGTCATTTTTTGAGTCCACCAAATTATACACGAAGACGAAATCATCCTTCAGAAGGCCTTGTTAAAAGACTTCTGCTGAAGCTCTAAATTAGTTACTGGTATACAAAAACTGCTTCTAAATTCCCAGGGCAAGATAAACTTCCACCATCGAAAAGGATGGCAGAAAGAACCTACAAAACACTCAATGGCTGCGAGTCACGTACCAGAGTCTCATCCAGCACACCTACAAGTCAAGAGCCGCTCCTCTGCAGAACTATGGGCAGAAAGGCAGCTATCGTTCCCTTTCCACCAGTCATCTGAAAATGCTATATGTTTCAGCATTGCGGTTGGCACAACGCAGAGCATCTGCAGGAGGGATGTGGTATTTGAATTGCAAACTGTGCTGCAGGAGTTAATCCGGGAAGGGCCTCATGGTTAACTTTCACACGAAAATGTTGGCCAGTACCACTGGAGAAAAGGCTGGACCCGTCAAGCTTGGCAATCACCAAATTGGGAATGCACTGCTCTGTGATCCAATTATGGCAGGAATCATCAGCGACTGATCAAATTTTCTTTCAAGTTCGATTGGACTATGGGATTTATCCTGTAGACATAACAAAAACTGTAAAAAGAATATATAAACTTTAATAAAACAAGTGGCATGGCATTTGTACTTACCGCATAATTGGTCCCATTAGATGCCTGAGTGCCAGGCGGGACATCCTGCTGCTGCGAGTTTTTTAAGAATCGATGTTCTAATAACATGGCAGCAGTTGGCCTCTCTGCGGGATTTCTTTGGAAGCAGCAGCATAGGAAATCCTTACCCTCAGGTGACAATGTTTCCGGAATTGGTGGTGCATCCTTCATAACTTTAAACATGGCCGCAGCCTGAATTAATAGACAAGAGTTTAGAAAACTGACAGAGGGCTTAAATGCAGAAAGTTATGTATGAAACTCGAATCCAATTATATATTCACAATGTCAACTCTCGAGAGGCAGATGAGCAAAACTACAGGGCAACGAAGAAGCTAAAAAGAAGTTTATGATTTTATCGAACTGTGAAAGCATGCAGAAATTAGCAATTTTGACATAAACAATGGAGTAGACCCCTTCAAAGCACAGATTGAAACAAGTTTCATGGTAAAATACAGAAGATACGAGCTTACCCCTTCATACTCACTCCAAGGAGGTTTTCCGGTGAACATTTCAATAATTGTGCAACCCAAGCTCCATATATCGACAGCAAGAGCCAGATCAGAGCTGGTATCTTTATGCATCTCAGCTTGCATCAGCTGCAGGAAGAAATTGTAGCAGTATTAGAGCAGTGCATAACCCCATAGGCTGCCGCATACTAGTTAGCAAAATATTACCTCTGGAGCCATCCAGTATGGGCTTCCCTTTAGAGAAAGATTTCCTACGTGACCTGAAAGCTACAAAACAAGCAAGTTTAAACTATGTCAGACCAAACTTAGATGGTAAAGAATAAATCCCAGAAAGTGATCTGAAACTATAACAATGTGATGACTGTAATGATAGCCCCATGAAACGGTGTGGAGAACTGCCAGATGATTAGATTGAGGAAACCAGCTCAAAATCTCAAAATAACTTAGCCTATTACCCTGCCAAGAGTAAAAAAAGCTACTAGCACTCACATGTTTTGCCATTCCAAAGTCAGCTAGCTTGACAACTCCACATGAATCGACAAGCAAATTAGCCCCTTTTATGTCCCTATCAACAGAACACAAAATAACATGCAGCTAATTAACCCCAAGCATAATGCTATAGGCCCTTACACCAAAAAAAATTCTTCCACATTTGACAATGATAAAATTCGCATAGTCAGAACTCATTCTTATTTGCTACTCGAATTTAGTCTCACATTCCGTTTTTGTAAGACAAACTTTATGCTGATAATCGTACATTTGATTAAGAATGTGATGATACCTGTGTATTGTCTTTGTGCTGTGCAAGTAAGCCAACCCAGAGAGTATATGGCGAGTAAAATTGCGAACAACAGCTTCTGTTATGGCTCCACAATGTTCATGGACATATTTGTTAATAGAACCAGGATGGACAAACTCCAGATATATATAAAATCGATCATCAACCTGCATATACGAAAGTATGGTGTGATTTGTTTTAGGCAACACCAATGGACAAACATGAGCCTGGATGCCTAAACATGCATGTAACACATTACTCACTATTTCGCTTCCATAATACTGCACAATATTAGGATGCTTCAGCTGGCTGAGAACTTTGATTTCCTGATAAAAAAAAAAAAGGTTTACAGAAAATGAGTAAGAAACACTGACATTGTTACATAATACATCACTAAATACACCTGAAGAACCAGAACATCATAGTC